CAACCACCTGCCCAAAGAGGAGACCCTACACCAGGGGTGTCAAACTCATGTTGTCACGGTGTCATCACATGACGTATCGGGATTTCCCCCCCTCTTCACTATAGGCCATAGTGTTTAACTATATACTATTTTCTTTTAAGAATGCACTAATACAGGTAGTCCTCAACTGATCACCACAATTCAGCCCAAAATTTATGTCGCTAAGACTTTTGTTAAGTGAATTTTGTCAGTTACCAAGCAGCCAAATTTTCATGGGGATGCTGCAATGATCTTAAATGCGAAAATGGTCACTTTTTTCAGTGTCGTTGCAACTTTGAATGGTCACGAAATGAATTGTTGTAGGTTGAGGGCTACCTGTGCCCTGTGTAAACTCTTCTACAACCTATCTGGCTAAAATCAGTCCAATGCTGTCTATAGTCACAAAGCAACATAAGTTTTAGGTCATTTGGAAAATGGGAAATGTTTCCCCATTTAGTCCAACAAATGCAGAGGTTTTAAACTTCAATTGTTCCAATAGCTTGGGGAATTATCTGAATCAGTCAGCCAGCTCCAGAGAGTGCATAGTTCTCATGAGCCTAATCAATATTTAAGGGGTGTATATGCATGGTAAACAGCTATATCTGAGCTTTCATACTATCTAGGAGTTGGGTATTTGTTTAAATTGTTTCTGGGAGGGGAAAAAAATCAAACTCATTGGTGAATGATTTGGGAACAAATATTTATCTCACTCTGCCAAACCCAACTCTGCTTGTGCTCTAACTGAGCATCATTGATTTCCCTCATATTGCATGGCAATTCTGCATGATTCCATCCAGAAACAGGAGTGTTCATGAAATAATAACTGGAAAAGAATCTTGACAGTGATGGAGCAATTCTATACATGTCTAACCAGAAGAAAATCCTTTCAGTATTTTTAAAATAAATCTGTACAGGAATATAGCCGTAGCAAATCTACCTCTTAGTCCTAAAATCAGCAAGTAAAATCAATCCGAAAGAAATAAATAGATGGAAGGAAAACAGTGAGGGATTTTTGGATTGAGCAAATAATCTATTTTTAAGAATTTCCTCTATTATGTAGATCTGCATGGAAGTTTAAAACTAACCTACCAAATATAGAAAAAACATACATTCATTTTTTTTAGAAATGGAAATTTTGGTTACTTAGCATACTCAGCCTATTCATATTACTGTCTTCTATAAATCACCATTAAAAATTGTATGTGTAGTTTACACACGCTTATACATATACACAATCACCAAAGTCTGCATATGTATAGATCAAATATTTATAAGACACATATTCAGGTATGTCTCTGTTGTTGATATATACAGAGTTTATGTAAACACACACACACACATATTTATATATATTGTGTATGTGTGTCTTTATACACTTATATTTGCAGCATAGGGAAGAAAGACATTCTCCTTAATAAGCGTGATTGTCACATTTGCTCAATGTAGAATGTTAGCTGACACTTTAAGCATGACAAATATATGCTATACACAATATTTATTAAAACCTTTCTTTCCTTTTGGTATGTACATGTGTGTACATGTATATATGCATACATGTATACACACATAAAGAGAATATATATATATATATATTCTCCACTTGAATGAGTTAATATCATTCCTAATAAGTTAATATCATTCCTACAAGACAGTAGTTTCTATTCACAAGTCCACATTTACAGCACAACCCAAATTTTAGCCACACTGTACAGAATGCTGACTGTATAGAGCATTTGGTCCTTTAAAAAGGATATGTGGTTATGCTACTGCACACTACATTGTAACACAGTACTTTTAATTACTCTATTATTCTTTTCCAGAAAGGAAAAAAAAAGGATACCATCTGGTAAAAAATTACACCCATTTTGGTATACAGTTCTTCAGCAATCATATAATACACATGCTTATTAATCTCAGACTAAAGCCATCTTCAAATTGATACATTTTAATGAAGCTGTTTTCCACACTAACTTCTGCCTGCTAATTCAACTGTTATCAAATTCAGGCCGATGTTCCACATATTTTCAGTTTTGATTTGCAGCACTCCCACCCACCCACTCCAAGTCACAAATGCAACATCAATTTGTCCAGTGTGGAAAGGTAAAGTGCTATTAAGGCTCTTCAGAACACTCAGTACATTTTAAACTAGGTTCTTGATGCTTATAGGTCACCCCTATTTTATTGGTTCCCTGTGATCAAGGCTAAAAGATTACTGATAAATATCTCCTTAATTATCCCTTGAATGGCCTTTCTTAAGGACCTTATGCCAGCCTCTATTGCTCCTGATGAGGAAAGCCTTTACCACAATTTGCTTGGTGGGGTTTATTGGTTAAGTTTATTCTGAATAATGAAATAACATTTCCCTATTAAAAAAATAAATTTCCAAGAGAAACAATCATTAAGGCTTCTCATTCTCCACCAGAAGAGAGAGAAAATGATGGGACATGCAAAGTGGGAGATCTAAATGAACATTGATTGGCAAAGGGTTTGCTGAGCATCTCTGCTTGTGACTAAACATTATGGACTACAGAAAGATCTGGAATATAGAAAAGAACGGAGCTGAAAACCCACTACCATCAGAGGTGTTGTGCATAGCATCCCTTTTAATTCCAATTTTGCCCCACTGGTGATCAAAAGTAGGGAATTCTGTCAGAATTGCACTTTTTCAGAAATTATGTGCTTTTTGGCAATCTCTGACACTTCAAATTTTGTTTTCTATGTATCTTTTTACTTCATTCAGGCTAGAGCAGTTTGTCCTAATCTGTCACCCTTAATGCTTTTCAGGACTGCAAACTACAGATTTCCCAGTTAGATTCTAATGGGAATTGCAGTTCTAGCATAACTGAGGGCATCAAACTTGAGAAGCTTGAACTAGAATGATATTATATGAACAAAATTGGTTTTAAAGTCAGTGTGAAAAAATCAATATTCGATATTTTACTTTTTCTTTTTGTCTTTATGTATTACTTGTCAGCCATCACTTAAATAATCTTCAAAATTTATTTCATATTAATCATCCTGACATTTAAAAAAAATCCTGTTGAAACTTATATAGGAACTAATGTGTGTGTGTGTGTATGTGTGTGTGTGTGTATATATATATATATGGCTTTAGACATACACTGTTTTATATATATAACTTAGCAACTTCTAAAAATGACATAATAGAAACCAACTTCACCACTATTCACATTTCTAATTTTAGTTCAGATTTTGAAACAAAATCAACATCTTTCTAGATTGCAAAACGGGTGCTTTAAAAGAAGAAATGCAAGTCAAACACATTTAAAATGATTCTGGAAACAATTAGAAAAATAAGTGTCAATTCTTTAAAATAAAATTACAATTACAAAACATTTAGGAGCTCTATATTCATGACCTCCTTTAGTGATTTAAAATATCCCCTCCACATTTTTGCAGCAGTTTTGAATTTATCGCATCATAATATCTTATAATAAAAATAACTTGACATGTATATCCTAAATCTTCCATGTCTATATGTAATACGTTTCTGTTAGCCATGTAGTATAATACTTGTCACTCCTAAATGAAAGGATGGCTGTTGTCAACATTCATTATTTGATTATCTGTTCAACCAATAACTGGTTCTCTTCCTTATTTTGCTGACTTTTCTCCAGAGTTTCTTAAGTATGTCCTATTTCACATCAGTAATAAATATTCAATATTGTTGCATGACCCTATTGCACCTGTAACAATGCATATGTTTCACAGTAGCAATTTTGTTACAACTAAATACAGGAATGTATTATGCTTACTTGAGTGTGCAATGAGATGTGGGATTTTTTTTCAGAATAAATAGTAGAGTATTAACTGATAAAATGTATGCTGAGTTTGGGGAAAAGATTGTTGGGAAACTGCCAAGTGGGCTGGAAGGAGGGATCAAGCAAGGCCCTAGCTTAGAGTCCTTGTACAGCCACAAGAGGCATAAGCTTGACCTCCACCCAAGTTTCATGAAGCTCTGGTCATTCCCAGGGGAAAGCAGTCTGGGGAAAACATTTTTATATAGGTAGAAATCAATCAAGTTGTTTACTTCAGCTATCTACGAGTGGTTCTGGTTGCTTGTGCCTGACAAGGATAAATAGAAGACAAATAGGAGGACAAGGATCAGTAAGTGCTGATAAAACATCATGTTGCAACCTCTATATTATCCATGTCTAGTTTTCCCCACATCTTGGGCATCCTAAGCTAATACTACCCAGCTGTATAGGGTTTCAATTCCATTCTAACCCAACCAGAGACTTCAGATTTGAAGGATAATGTATTTGACTAATGCCACTGTATTACAGCCCTGTTTTCAAAAGAGCCCTAGAAACTATTCTGCACTTTAATATACCCAACCATGCACTTGCATTATCAAAAACTAACTAGGGAATTCTAGTAGTGACATCAGGAGAAACTATGGCAAGGTGAAGTTGGGGAATCCTAATTATGCATAAAGTGATACAAATCTGGGAAATGTGAACAAGACCTTTGCTTTTCAGTCCAGTTGACACAGAAGCCCCTTTCAATATAAAAAAAAGTTTGCAGCGAGAACAATGCCTTTACTTTCCTGTATGTCTCCCAAGGGAAAGCACCAGGTTCCTACTCTTTCATGAAATAATTACATTATTCTGTAAAATGTTACATTGGATGCCATCTGATCGGATCACTTTTCAAAAGAGAAGTTTACATAAGATGCCAACTGGTTTTTTTTCTTTCAGCTTGACCTCAACTAGAAATGAAATAATTATTCCCATAGAGAATGCCAGTCTACTGCACTTGACACTTCCGTTTTCAACACAGATGCCAAAGCAAATAAAGTAGAGGCAATTCCATAGATGTTCCAAATATCCATACAGCAGAAGTCACAAGGTTTGAGTCTTTTTTTCCCTTTTTTTATCCAGATCAAAGGCAAAAGGACAACAAGGCATTTAAGCTGTGATGAGCAAAACCAAGTATCTGCTGATAAAACAGATCAGGTTGTTAAGGCCTTTGTCTATGCAGAGTTATAATAATGCAGAAGCCTGGTTGAATAGAAATTGGGGGAAAGAGAACAGAAGGGGAGAAGAGATATATGTCAGTAAAGTCACAACTTCAATACTGTGTTTACAGAGGAAGAGATGCAAACAGCTTGCCCTTTGAAAGCTTCTCCGTATCTTTGTATTTAATACTGCCAGAGTTAATAACACATTGTAATGGAGTTTAGTTGCAATGGAAACATTCATTCACACACTTCATACAAGGAAGTGCTAGGAGTTTCTACCCTAGAATATCCAGGTAGACTGGAGAGGCCTTGGCCAAGTTCTGAAGGAGAGAGTAGATTTCTTTGATATTGAGTCTCATATGAGGCTCCCGCTGCCAGCACCCAAGCATCAGGTCATATACTTCCTTTGGGCAGGTACGAGGTCGCTGTAGGACGCGGCCCTGAGTAATACACTCAATTACCTGAAGAAAGGACAAGAAGAGAGCCCATTGATTTATGTCTTTTGTTGGCAATACGTCATTGGCCAATACATGCAAAGATAAACTCCCAACATGTTTGCCTAACACCTTTGTACTCTTATTCTTATTTGTTTACTTTTAAAAATGCCATTTTTTATTTGCATCAGAAGTACCAAATAATGACGGCAAGGCAAGGCAAGGCAAGGCGAGGCAAGGCAAGGTGAGGCAAGGCAAGGCGAGGCGAGGCGAGGCGAGGCAAGGCGAGGCGAGGCGAGGCAAGGCAAGGCAAGGCAAGGCAAGGCAAGGCATAAAAAAATAAAGTCATTCCATTTCATTGCTATATTGGGAAAAATGAGCTATACTGGACACAAGGAAGATCTTTCAATATTTTTCTCCTCCTTTTTTTATAATAGTTTATTAAACTTATATGCAGTCCAACTCCCAGAGATTCTGGGAAATTTAAAATAAGAGCTTACTGCTTAAACACTTTTGAATATTTTGATTTTGGAGTTAGGATGTGTTAAGATATTTAAATTTAGTAGCTGGAACAGTGAGGTTGGACAATGATCCAGAACACAGAGTTATAGTTGATTGGTTGGAGAGTGCTGGCTCCTGCATGAGGCTCTCTGTGCTGTGATTGGTTGCTTGGGTTGGAGATGGGAGTTTCCCTTTCCCCCTACCTTTTTCTTCTGTGTGCTCTGTGATTTACCTCATGATGCTCCTGTTTGCCTGACTATCTTATTTGCAGTAAATATAGACGTTAAACATATTTATTGATATAAACTACAAGTTCATGGCAGCATCTCTGACTTCATTTGGACACCTGCTGTGCAATTCCCTGACAGGATGCTGGCAGCACTGCCACAGCACAACCTACTCTTGGCTGAACAACTTGGAGGTTGCTGTCAATCTCTTCCTCATCCTTGCAATCTCTGACTTAAAATTAATGCAGGAAAAATATTTCCAAATTTTCTTGCAGTGAAAGAAACCCTTGAAGATATCCAGTGGAAATTAGATCAGTTTTACAACCTCTAAAGAGCTTGCTATAATTATATTTTTATCCCATTTTGAGAAAGATGAAGCAGCTTCCAGCATTTCTTCATTCTAGCCTATGAACAATGGCATTTCAAAGAAAGTTTCAAAGGATCTTGAATCAAAGTGGTTTCTCCTCAATTTTCAAAATCAAATTAAATCTCCAGTCTGAATTGCATTGTGGTTGACTTTATGGAGGGCTTTTGGACTGGCATTGATGGAACCTTAAAAAAGAAGTTTCCACTATACTAAGAAACTTAGTAGTTCAGAATGGTAACATAGAACGATAGTCACATACCTCATTGTTTGAGAGCTGATACCATGGCTGTTTGCCATAGGTAAATATTTCCCAGAGAACAACGCCAAGGCTCCAGACATCACTTTCTGTGGTGAACTTTCTATACATGATGCTTTCAGGTGGCATCCAACGAATAGGTAACATAGTATGGCCACCAACCTGGTGAAAAAGAAAGAAACGTAAGAGTCTGGGGAAGTAGTGAAATAACCAAAGTGGCATGATATTATATTATTTTGATTTGATATATTATGTGCAATGATTACAAGTTCAACTAGAGTTATCAAGCATTTTCTTACAGCTGTATGCACCATATTATTATATTTAGAGAATTCTGCTGCTGTACTGGAACTGATCTCCATGTGGAAAATATCATGGGGAAAATTTAAGACTCAAAAAGTATTTTCTCAGTCACAAATTACTATTGATTTCTGACCTTCCCCGCTCCCAAAAAAGAAGGCCCCACTACCTTTCTTGTTTTATGTTCTCCAGGATATATGAGATACAAGGGAAATTGATATTTTTCAGCTAATCCCTTCTTCCTGACCAGAACGCATGGAATACAATAAACAACTAAAGGTGGGCACTGAATTTGGCTAAATGTCAGATTTTGGCAGGAAGCTGGGTAATTAGGAAAAGGTTTTTTTTTTTTTTAGGGCCAAATGTCTTGTCACAATTCTGGACCACAATAAAAGTCTTATCTTGACCTGCAAAAACTTATTCTGAAACAGCCACAGCAGTACATAATGTATGTATGTATGTATGTATGCAGAGGTGGTATTCAGCAGGTTCTGACCGGTTCTGGAGAACCGGTAGCAGACATTTTGAGTAGTTTGGAATACCACCTCTGACTGGCCCCGCCCCCATCTATTCTCTACCTCCCGAATCCCAGCTAATAGGCTAGGTCTTCTTACTCCTATGGACACTGCATAGGAGAATGGAGCTGGAAAGCAGGTTGGTGGGGTGGGGACAGAATAGGAATTTTACAGTATCCTTCCCCTGGAGTGGGCTGGGAATGGAGATTTACAGTATCCTTCCCCTGCCATGCCCACCAAGCCACACCACACCCACCAAGCCATGCCCACAGAACCGGTAGTAAAATTTTTTGAATCCCACCACTGTATGTATGTATGTATGTGAAAGAGTGAGAGAGAGAAGGAGGAGGAGGAGGAGGAGGAGGAGGAGGAGGAGGAGGAGGAGGAGGAAGAAGAAGAAGAAGAAGAAGAAGAAGAAGAAGAAGAAGAAGAAGA